CCGAGCTCCCTTCTTGTCCATGCAGCGAGCCTGGCGCAGCGTCCAGCCGGGCCTGGTCCCCGGCAGCCCCCAGCCTCGGGCTCCAGCTTCCTAGCCTTCCCTGGGGGTGGGGGTTAGTTACAAAGGTTCCTGTGGGTCTCTGGAGTGGGGAGCACGGCGGCCGCTTCTCATCTGAGAGCAGTCCCAGGGCCCGGCCCGCCTCCGGCCCCGCACAGGGGGAATGTCCAGAGGTGCTGTGTCACCACCTGGTCTTCTAATTTGGAAGGAGTTGGAAAGGCCTTTTTGTTGATGAAAAGTTGGAAACAGTGGCACATATCTGCAAATATCGAAAGAATAAAGATTTTGGCAAGTTATACTCAAGCCCCGCGTAAGTTGGTCAGCACTGGTGAGGGCAGAGACCCAGGCGCCTGGGGAGAGATGGCAGCGGGATGAAAAGGAAGAGGAGGCGGAGGAGGAGGAGGCAGAGGAGGCGGCAGGGCAGCCGGCAGTCCATCTCAGCCAGCGGGGAATGTCCAGGCCCATGTCCCCCCTGTTCACCCAGGCTGCCGGGAGCCAAGAGCACAGGTAGGGGGCAAAGTTACAGCAGCACAGGGGGAGCACAGCCGAGGAGCAGGGAGAACCGGGCCCAAGGCCACTGCCCGCAGCTCCAGCAGTGCCTGCTCCGGGCCTCCGCTGGGTGCCACAGCCTCTGCCCCTTTGGCCCAGGGAGAAGGAAGGTGGATGGGATCGCTGCCACTGGAGGGCGGGGAGGGGCGGGGGAGGGGGTGCAGCCTGCCCCAGCTAGACTGGCGAGCCGAGAGGTCCCCAACCACCAGAGGGTCCCCGGGAGCCCAGAAGGGCACACCCCCATGGCAGGAACCAGGGCAAGAGTGTCAACAAAACGAGTACATGAAGTCACAGGGGAGACTGGAGAGCTCAACAGCCATGTCCAGTGGGCGGGTCACAAGGGCACCAGCTCGAGCAGGCGTTGCTCTGCCAGGGAGATGTTGAGGAGAGGGGGTGGCCCCAACAGCAAGGATGAGAGGGGAGGTCTCGAGATGAACCCTTAGAGATGGGGGACATGTCTTGAGGCAGCCTCGGGAACAATGGCACAAGTGAGGTCACCATGGAAACAATGCAAGGGGAAATAAGGTTGCCACCATGAAGATGGAGAGAATGGAAGGCCCCGCGGGAGGATGGCAGGCGGAGGCAGCACAGTGGCAGCAGGCAGCAGAGGGGCACGGGGCAGGCAGCACGAAGGGCCGTGGCGAGGAGGCCAGGAGCATGGCAAGGACAGAGAAGGCGGGTGTGCCCAAATGTGCAGGACTAGCAGCAAAGGAAGGTGGAAGGTTAAGAATGGTGCTGAGGGAGCGGGTGACGGAGGCAGGATGTGCGGAGGGCACGGACGGCGGTCACACAGGCACCCACAGGCTCTACAGTGGTGGCAGCAGCAGCAGCAGGTGGCACAAGCAGGCAGCCCAAGGCCCTGTGAGTCTCAATGGGCCTGAACAGAAATAAGAAGCTTCGAGTCTAGGCAGGGTCAAGGCTGGGCAGTGCAAGGCATGGCGGCAGCTGTCAGCATGGACAGGGCGGGAGTGCGTGGCAGGCACAGGGGACAGAGGCAGGCAGACCGGGCAGAAGTGTGCTGGGCGGGGCAGGGGCGAGAATGAATGGGCAAGGCCTGGGAGCACTGGCTCTGCTGGACTGGTTCCTGAGAGCCCGGCTGGGGCCTGGCCCGGCGGGCAGACACAGGCCGGGCGGAGAGCCCCGCCCTGATGCTCAGAAAGAGGCGCATGGAGTGACGCAGAAGGACAGGGCGGTCTCCTGAGAATCCACGCGGCAGCTCACCCACCTGTGTCTGACCCAAGATCCTGGAATGGTCCAGCCAAGTCCCAGCTGGAGGGTGAGCATTTGGGGGTGGACTATGTGCCAGATGCTAGATCCTGGGCATGACAGACAGCAGGCTCAGGATACCTAAGAGCTTAGGGGCTGGGCCCCAAGCAGCAGGAGGCACATGGGGCCCTGGGTGTGAGGTCTGCGGGGAAGGGGAGAACTGACCTGTGAGGTTAAAGGCAGGGTGGTGGGGCACAGGCTGGAGGCCTAGGAAAGATGGCTAAGGCTTTGCTAGACCAACCACAGCAGCGGTAGGAAGCGTGGGGTGATGGGAAAGATCAGAATGTGGACAGGAGGCCTGGGCGCTGGTTCAAGCTCTGCCGCTAGCTCTCTGCGTAGCCTTGGTGCACAACTTCGAAATCTAGGGTGTTGGACAGTGAGAGCAGATGCCTCCACAGATCCCTCAAGCTGGCCAAGAAGCCCTAAGGTGGCCGGGAGGGGAGGTGTGTGCGGAGGGCAGCCCACGTGGGCTCAGAAAGAGAGTCTGGGTGTGGACGAGGGCGCCGGTTAGAGCCTACTGAGCCGTGTGTGTCTGTGTGGATGGAGACTGCAGGTGGCTCCCCTCCTAGATGGGCCCTGCCTGTCGGGTGGAGGCAGCTGGGCGGGTGGGAGGGGGCGGGGCACGGGCACGTACCGTGAAGATGTTGGAACGCCGCTTGGACTGCTTGCGGATGGGTGTGGGGGTGGAGGAGGCAGCGATGGTCTCGATGCGCAGCTCCCGCTGGCTGATGCTGGGGGTGGAGGGGACTGAGGACGAGTAGTCGCTGAATGCGCTGCTGCCGCCATTCGTGGCCTAAGGACAGAGAGGGCTGCTGAGGGCGTGGCGGCTCTGGGGTGGGTGCCGGGGCAGGCAGCAGGCAGGAGCCCTGCAGTATGGGGAGCCTGGCCTGGGGCTCATGGAGCAGCAGAGGGGCCACTAGACAGAACTGAGGAGAGAGGCAGCATGGCCTGGAGGCCACCGCATGGGGCTGCCCCGTGCCCCCCAGGGAGCTAATGAGGGGCAGTGCCTAGCAAGTCGGAATCAGTGGCTGAGGCTGGAAGTGAACTGCGGAGTCGGCTCACAGGAGGGTGTGACATGAGGTAGCAGGTCACCCTGGATGTGACATGTCAAGGATGCAGGAGGTCGGGGCAGGGGAGGACGAGGTTTGCTTGTAAGAAGTGTGTGTGACAGGGGAAGGGACACGGGAGAGCTGAGGCCGAGCACATGACAGAACTCAGACCACTGTCAGAGGAGGTGGCAGGAAGGGACAGGGCTGGGAAAAGGAGGAAAGACAAAAAACATGACAAGAGAGGAGCAGAAAGTGCATGCCAGTGTCTACTCCAGGACTCAGAGCACACACAGTCCAGGGCCCTGGCAGCCCCTCGACCCTCACCTGCACAAGGAGCAAAGGAGCTGCGCCCCCTCACCCATCAGAGCCTCCCTGGCAGGGCCCCCGTGCACAACTGAGGTGGAGTGCTCAGAGCTAGTGCAAGAAGGCCTACAGCTAAGTCCCTGCTGTTCTGCTCCATGAGGGACGCTCACAGGGAGAGCCTGGCTGCCTTCTAAAATGCTAAAGGGAGGCATCTCGGAAAAAGCAACCAGGCTGCCAACAGGAAGCTGGTGGCCGGGTGGGCCCTGGGCAGAAGTAAAGCAGCATCTGCCCGCTGGACCAGTCCATGGGGTACCTGTGACGGCCCAGCACTCCGCAGAGCAGGGACAGAGTGGGAAACGCACTTCCGGAAGGAAGCTCTGGCCCATGTGCCAGGGGCCGAAAAATAACCAGGCAGTGGGCCAGGAAGTGGACAGATGTCCAAGTGGAATTATGGGAAGACACTGGAAGAACCTGGCTCAGAAGCACACCCCCCCGTACCCCACATGGCATGAAAACCATTGGTCCCTGTGGAGCAGGCACTGCCCTTCTAAACTCACACACTGACAGGGCCGACAGGTGGGGGCCTGCTCACACTCCCAGTTTTGCCAGGGGCTGGTTAGTCCCAATAAGATCGCCTCTGTGCCTCCTGAGTCCGCTCCCTGGGCAGCGGCACCTGAAGCAGCCCTGACAGCGCTCCCTAGAGCAAGTGTTCTGCTGCCTCGGCTGCAGGGGCTGCAGGGTCAGAGGGTGGCGAGCGGGGTGGGGCGCTAGCAGGAAGGCAGTCACCACAGGCGTGCAGATGAGGCCAGGCCAGTCGCACAGGCTGCATGAACTCGAGCCAGGGCTTCCAAACCGTCCACAAGGCAGGAGACCGGATGAGGAGGGGACAGGCAGGCAGACAGACAGTATGTGAGGCGGGGCTGAGGCGCGAACTCGGGGGACGCGGGGAGGCTGCCGCACCTGGTTGATGTGCACGGACGGGATGGAGGCGGCGGACACTGCCGAGTGGCTGGGGGAGTTGGGCAGTGACTTGCAGGGCCCGATGGCCAGCTGCTGCTTCTTCCGCAAGGCCACCACCTTCTGGGCCACTGCAGGGGACAGCACAGTCAATTACCCCTCTGGGGAGAAGGGAGAAGCCCAGCTCAGAGCCGCCCCCGGAGCCCGTGCCGCTGGCCAGAGGGCCCTCCTGACCCACGGGGGAAGCAGTCCCGCCGGGCGCCTAGTTACCGTCCTGGAAGACGCGCTCCACATTGAGCCCGTAGGTGGCGCACGTCTCATAGTAGGTGCAGCGCTTCAAGTCTGTGGACAGCTTGCGGGCCCTGCTGTCGTCGATGACCCGGGGGTTTGCGGCACTGATGGCATCTGTGGAGGCGCAGGGTGGGGATTAGCTCAGCCTGCGGAGAAGCTGGGCGCTGGGGGGAGGGCCTCTGGTCAGAGGCTGGGTGAGCACAGGAACCCAGGATGGCCTCGCTCCAGCTCTGCCCCCGACGCGCTGAGTGGAAATGAGCCAGCCACTCGGTTAAACCATCTCAGAAAACACGGACCCTGTTGTCACGGGGATGGCAGGATGCAGCTGGGGGAGACCCATTGGGTAGAACCAAGATGAGGTGCCCTTTGGGTCGATGAGGGCTCAGTCAACGTGGGGCAGCAGGGGGGGTGGCGGATGGGCTTTCACACACCTGCCCGCCTAGGGACCCGGCCCGCAGGCCCGCTCACCCTGCGTGCCCACCAGCACCATGGGCACCTCGCTGGCGTTGCGGAAGCTGCAGAGGCGCAGAAAGTAGTTGTACACCGTCTGGAAGCTGATCTCATCCTCCAGGCTGAACACAAACACCACCGCGTCCACCCAGGCAGCAAACTAGGGGGGACCGAGCACAATTACCAGCCTCGCCTGGTCAGGGCGGACTCCGTACCCCTCTCCCCGCACACTCAACGGCCAGAGCTGGGCAGGAGCCTCACCTGGAGCTCAGGTGGGCCTCCTTCATCTCGGATCAGCAGCAGGTAACTCTGGCCATCCACCACAATCTCCTTCTTAAACCGACCCCCTAGGACAGAGTGCACAGTCAGGGCCGCAGCTGGGAGAAGCACCCGCGGGGCCGAGCAGAGAAGAAACACACAGCTTCCAAGGAGGCAGGAGCCTGAGAAAGACGGGGCTCGAGCCCCCCAACCCCCAGCGCAGCCAGCCTGTAACGCTCACCTTCAGGGGACTCCTCCTGGACATAGGTCCCCGTCAGATAACGGTGCACAAGGGCTGACTTTCCACTAGACAGGTTCCCCACAATGCCCTGTGGGAGAGGAAGGGGCGGCAGCAGCGGTCAGAAGGCACACGGAGGAGATGGGGCAGGAAAGGCAGACACCATAAGGACTGAGAAGGACCAGTGCTGAAGGGGGAAGAGGGCCAGAAGGACGCTGCAGGGAGAGGCCTGGAGGAGAGGGGGGCTGCCCGGCCCTCCCCCCTCACTCACCACTTTAAGCTCCGGCACCGAGCGGCTCAGGGTCCACTCCTGGCTGTTCACAAAGGAGTCTGCGGGAGAGAAGGCTGCCTGTCAGGACTGGGTGGCACCCGCACCTGTGCCATCTGCTACCAGCTGTCTCCTCCACTGCCCCTTCCTAGGCCCAGGCCAGAGGACTGTCCAGAGGGGACCCTAACCCTCACCCCTAGTTCCCTAGGGAGCAGCAGGGCAGTGGAACAGAGTGAAGACAGTCCTCGAGGAGGACACTGAGAGGTGTGGGCTGTCCCCTGGCCTGGACCTGGGTCCCTCCTCCTCTTACTGCTCCAGCGAAATAAGTAGCTCCCACCTTGCGCCACACCCAGCCTGGTGCCCCCGGGCCCCAGACAACAGGCCGAGGTGAGAGCAGCTCCAGCAGGTCTCAGCCCAGACCCACGCTGGGCTGGGCACTTGGCAGCTGGGCAGGGGGGGCAGCCTCCTGCAGCGAGTAGGAACAGCTCCCTGTGCAGGGTGGGGCCACCCACACATTCCTGCCAGCCTGAAGAGGGAGGAGCCCTGACCTGGCCCTGTTCTGTGACAGCCCTCCACCCGCAGCTCCTCCTTGTTGGGAGGCCACCACCCTTCCTTCCCCGAGACCCGCCTCCCAGGCTCCCTCCTCAGCCCATTCTCAGACCAGGGCAGCGGGCCTGACATTGGCACTGTCCTGGGGACGGAGTATGTGCCACCCAGAGCCCTCCGAGGGTTTGCGCAACCTTCCTCATCTTCTAGGTGGCAATGGCAACCCCCTGGGCCGCGCTTGCTTCCCCACCCAGGCTCTCAAAGAGTAGTTATCGCACCAAACGACCCACTGACCAACCGCGTCCACAGCAGCCCCTGCGCTCATCTGCAGAAGCCGCGGTAAGGGAGAGCCCAAGCCCGCGGGAGCTAGAAAACAGAAATGCGTTCCGCCCGAGGCTGCCCTGGGCCTCCACGCTGCACGTGCCAAAAGCCACGAAGGTCTCCTACTCCACCAGGTCAGGGCCACGCTGGCACCGGGACCTGCTAGACGTCCTCCTGTCTCGCTGCCACCTCCAGGGATCATCACCGCCCAGAGCCCGCTGGGCGCTGCCCTCACTCGGACGTCCCGCCGTCCCTGGCCCACGACACGCCCCCCTCGCCCGGGAGGTTCCAGGCTCCCACCCGCTCAGCCTGGG